GGGTGAGAATACCCCTGAGGAAGTGGGAGGCTACACAGGTGCCTGCCCCAGGCAGGACTGGACAGAGGAGCTGGCCTGGCCGCTCCCAGTCCCTGGAGGGCTCGCTCTTGCCCTTGGCTTCCCAGGCAGGCCGACCCTAAGGAGGAAAACCTGTTCCTAGGCCCTTGATAGCCTGGGTGGGTATCACAAGAGCTCAAGGACTCTAAGACACACAGGACATTAGACAGGCTCCAGGCTGTGTCTAAGAGTGGCCTGGGGTCACATAGTAGCCTGGGCTACTCCAGGTGGTTGGGTGTCAGCTGGGAGGGTAAGAGCAACCCTCTGGGAGCCATTAATTCAGTAACTCTAGAGATGTTGAAAGTTGGAATGAAATAACTTTTACACCTTGGGGATTTGGTGTGTTGGATGTGGTTAGACAAGCAGCAGTTCCCACAGTGGCAGTGGCATCTGAAGTTTAAGAGACTACCCCTTCCTGGGTGTCTGGACCTACAGGAGTTCCCTGGGACCCCGACAGGTGGGACCCGGTGCCCCTCCCCAGGCCATTGCCTGTCCTCAGGTGCTCCAGGCCCTGGTTCTGAGAGCTTGGCTGGAGGGACCAACAGAAAGGCCCAGGGACGATTCCCCTCTGCCGTCTGGGAGGAGCCCCAGGTGCAGGTGGCTTTGTGGACTGGCTCAGGCACAGGAGATGCCTCTAAATGCACGGGCTGCTGTCGGGCCAGGCAGAGCACAGACTGGGTATGTCCAGGCCCACTGAGTGCTGAGGGGACAGCGGAACCTGTGTTCCCTGCAGACCCACATGATAGTGATGTATAGCAGATCTGCATCTGAAAATCCCTGATGTTGTTGGTCGGTGTCCTTCCTTCCCGTTCAGACAAGAGGAGAGGGGGCTGGTCGGTTGGCTCAGTCGGTTGGAGTGTGGTGTTATAGCGTCAAGGTCAAGGGTTTAGATCCCTGGACTGGCCAGCCACCAAAAAAAAAAAAAAGACAGAAGGATATACACTTTTGGTCTGTAGGATTGTCCCATGCACTTGGGAACATGCTTCTTTTTCCAGTGGTGTGGGATGTGGGTGGTGACCTGGACGAGGGCAGCATGCCCACCACCTCCTGCCACATTCTCTCTCCTCTCTGTGGTTAGTATCAGATCCACTTAATGTGTGTGTCATTCTGTCCTGTTCCCCCTCCTCCCCCGCTTCAAGAAGTAAGACTGTCCTGGTCTGTCTACCCCTCTGGAACTAGGGCAGTTGCTCTTTGACCTTTGCATGAAATGACTGAAACAATTTGAGTTGTATGTAGTTTCAGCGCTCAGTTTATAAGAGTATTTGGCAAGTGCAGTCTGGTTCCTCGTGAGAAAAGCCACATCACAAATCCGGTAACGGGTCACCCAGGCTCTCGTGGTAGCCTCCGTCAGGCATGAGTGCTCTCCTGCCCTGGGGGGTGAGCTGAGGGCGGCACTCAAGGTCTTTGGAACTGGAGGCACTGTCACCAATTCAGCCCCCGCCCTGTGGCCTGCAGGTGGCCCTGTACAAGTCAGTGCCGACGCGTTTGCTGTCACGGGCCTGGGGCCGCCTCAACCAGGTGGAGCTGCCGCACTGGCTGCGCAGGCCCGTCTACAGCCTGTACATCTGGACCTTTGGGGTGAACATGAAAGAGGCCGCGGTGGAGGATCTGCACCACTACCGCAACCTCAGCGAGTTCTTCCGGCGCAAGCTGAAGCCACAGGCCCGTCCTGTCTGTGGCCTGCACAGCGTGGTGAGGCCCACCCCCTGCCTCCCATCCTCCTGCAGGAAATGGGATTTTTGCCTGTATCTTTGGGAACCGGGCCCAGCAATCTCCATGGGCTGTGGTCCTAATGGGCAGTTCCCAGGCCGGGCCTCACCTGCCCAGCACAATCCCTGGTCTCCAGCATGTCCGGGAGGTGCGGGGCTCTGGGTGCTTGGCACATGGCCAGGTGGGGGCTGTCTCCCAGGGGGAGGAGACCTTCCCCTCCTTGCCAGCAGCTTCTCCTGGCCTTCCCAGATCAGCCCATCAGATGGGAAGATCCTCAACTTCGGGCAGGTGAAGAACTGTGAGGTGGAGCAGGTGAAGGGGGTCACTTACTCCCTGGAGTCATTCCTGGGCCCACGCACCTACATGGAGGACCTGCCTTTCCCACCAGGTGGGCCATTGCCCAGTCAGAGCCATCGTGTGGATGGGCCAGACGTCAGAGGGCTAAGGAAGGGAGGGTGTGGGGCAGGCAGGGAAGGAAAAGCTGGGGAGGCTGTAGGAGCTGAGAGCTGACATGTGGGGCCAAAGCTTTAGGCCTCCCTTGGAATCCACGTACAGACTGCACACAGGCTCCGTGCTGGGCACTAAACGGTGGGCTGGGAGGTACTGAGAGCTTGTCTGAGAGCCTGGCCCTCCGGTCTGCCCCCACCCCACAGCCACCTCATGTGACTCCTTCAAGAACCAGCTGGTGACCCGGGAAGGGAACGAGCTCTATCACTGTGTCATCTACCTGGCTCCTGGGGACTACCACTGCTTCCACTCCCCCACCGACTGGACTGTTTCCCACCGGCGCCACTTCCCAGGTAGGCCCGGGGCAGCGTTTGGACGAAGCTACCTCTGTGGGTTTCTGACAGAGGCTCTTAGCTTCTTGGTGTTGGGGGACTAGGCTCCAGATGGGAGTTGTTGAGGCCAGGAGTTGACCACTTTAGGATGGCTGGTCATGGGCAAGGGATGGGAGCCTGGGGTCCAGACTGCTCTGCATTTGGAATGACAGAGGCAACAGGCCATGAGTCCCTCTGGGTCTTGGGCTGCCCTTGAGTGGACACATTGGGCTCTGGATGGGGAGTGGCAGTGTTCCCTGCCCCCACAGGCTCCTTGATGTCAGTGAACCCCGGCATGGCCCGCTGGATCAAAGAGCTCTTCTGCCACAATGAGCGAGTGGTCCTGACTGGGGACTGGAAACATGGTTTCTTCTCACTGACGGCTGTGGGGGCCACCAACGTAGGCTCCATTCGCATCTACTTTGACCGGGTAAGCAGAATCCAGGCCCTGCCAAAGCCCAAGGGCTGGACCCGTTGGGTCCACTGTCCCCTTCTGCTGTGCAGCTGAACCCTGTGGGACTGGAAATTTTAGGGGGGCCACCTCTTTGGCCAGGCTTGGCTCTGCTGAGCAGCTTCCCTGAGGAGGGGCAGCCCTACCAGCTGAGGATTCTCTCCGTCCCACTTTGCTGCCACTCGCCCCTCTGGAGGTGGAGGGAATTAACCTCCCTGCCTGGTACTTTGCTTCTGTGAGGGGACAGAAAGGGAATATTGAGCTTTGGCTGGGTCATGTTGACTGGAGGGTAGTGTGTGGGAAGGTGGCAGCTGCCCACCTTGCCTACACAGAGCTGGCCTCGACAAGCAGGGAATCTGGGCCCACCTGCCCCTGGGAGCTGTATTTTTGGGTGTCAATCTGGCTTACCGCTCTTGGCTCCCACCAGTGCTGGTCTTGCAGCACCCTTCATGCTGGGAGAACAGTTGGGTCTGATTTCTCCATGTCCCTCCTGTGCCCACTTCCCAGCAGATGTCAGGGACTGTTTGTGGGACTGGGTTAGACCCAGCCCATCTGGCCCTGGATGCCAGCCCCACCTCACTTTCTGGACCAGGTCGGGTGGCGTTAAGGTCGGGGACCGGATCCCCTGACCCCTGGGCTTCCACTGCAGGACCTGCATACAAACAGCCCAAGGTACAGCAAGGGCTCCTACAACGACTTCAGCTTCGTGACACACGCCAACAAGGAGGGCATCCCCATGCGCAAGGGCGAGCACCTGGGCGAGTTCAACCTGGGCTCCACCATCGTGCTTATCTTCGAGGCCCCCAAGGACTTCGACTTCAAGCTGAAAGCAGGACAGAAAATCCACTTTGGAGAGGCTCTGGGCTCGCTCTAAAGCTCTTTCCTGGCTGCAGCTGCTGTGGGATCTTTTCCGAACAGAAGTGTGAGGGTCCTTCAGAGGGGAAACCTCATGAGGCTGTCTGGGTGAGGGGACTGCCTCAAGGTTGTGGAGGTTCTGACAAGGTAGGACCTGAATGATTCTGCTCCTGCCTGTCCTGCAGACAAGAGGTCCTGGGTTCTTCTGAGGCAGTCGAAGCTCCTGTCATGCCCTACGTCCATGCTGTTCCCTTACCCCCTGTCCTACGAAGAAAGAAAAAGTGCAGGCCGGATATCTCACATTCACTCCTGGATCTAGCATTGTATAAACCGGAGACCCTGCATCTCCTGGTTGAGCATTCAGTTGTCTTGATTTTCATTTTCAGATGGTAAGTGGTAATGTACCTTCTCACTGTTCTCCCCATCACCTGGGCTGTTTTCTGTTAGCCCCTTATTCTTTTTTTTTTTCCTGGCCTTAATCCTCTGCCTGCACCAGGTGAGGTGCCTCCTTGGCACAGGTGTGGACCCACCCTGCCCCTAGAGCAGAGCCATTCGGCCTTCATAACAGGTGCTTTCTGTTGCCAAATTGCATCTCACCCTGCTCACTGGAAAAAGCAAAATTCTCCTTTGCACTGTGGCTGAGTGTATCACTCTGGGCTCTGCCAGTGTCTCCTGAGGATGGTGATCAATGATGTGGACCTTTGTAGGCCCTGATGAGAGACCTTCTGGAGCTGGCTCAGTGTTCTTTGCAGCAGGCAAGACCAATTCTGAACCTACCTAATCTACCTAATAGTGTCAGAGTGAACAGGGCAGAGCTCCTGTCCCCCTCCCCATATGCAGGCCTAAGTGAAAGATGGGAAAGTTGCTGCTATTGACTTAGGGACTGTGGTGGAGGTAGAGGAGCCACAGTGTGTGGTGGGTCAGTGCCTAGAAAACCTGTCCCAATTAACAGGTACGCAGTCCTTGGGGTAGCCTCAGATGGTAGGGACAGGGCCAGGGTTCATGTTGATCCTGGAGATGCTGTGAATTTCTCCTGCAGGAGAAGTCATTGAACTTTTTCAACTGTATCAGTAGCACAGTATTTTTGTATGAAAAGTGGGAGACTTCTGAACAGTTATTCATTTAATTAATTACAAAACATTTTGAAATTAAAAAAAGAAAACTTATTGTGGCTTTGTGTTCTGTTCCTGGCAGTGCTTGAGGCCTGCCCCGCAGCCCAGCACCCACCTCCCTGGACAAGCCTGCTAGCACAGAGCCTGCCGCAGGGCCTGGATGCGGGCAATGCAGGCGCTGACGGGCTGGCGCTGGGCCTGAAGCTCCTCAGTCAGCTGTTGGATCTGCAGTTCCACCTGGGGGCAGGGGAGGGATAGGCCCAGGTGAGAGGAAGCACAACCCATGGCCCATCCCTGGGGTTGGCCTGGGCCTCACCTCCTCTAGCTCCTTCTGCACCTGCTGCTCCGCTTCCTGGTCCTCAGGCCTGGGCTCTTCCCGGCTCAGCTCCAGCCACCGGCGTAAGCTGCTAGCTTGCCGCTGGTAGGACCTGAGGGGTGGAGATACCTGCTGCCTGCCAGGCTGGGTTCTTGGCAGAACCTCATGGGAGCCTCCCCCAGCTCAGGTGAATCACATCAGCTAATTCTGATGTGGAATAGGGTGAAAGAAGTGGCTGGTAGGGACCCCTGAGCTGCAGGTCCCTGACTTGGGGTGGGGGGGCGGCGGCAACACTTGTTCCTCTCGCAGCTTCTTCCACCTTCCCCAGAAAAGAGCAACTCAGGCGGGCCCAGGCCTGTGTTCTCTGCACCTGTATCAGCAGTGTTATAATCATACATACACTAAGTAAACAATATGACCCAATCGGGTACTTAGTTTTGCTTGGCTTTTATCATCTCCCATGGAAAGCAGGGCCTCTGTCCACAGGTGAGGCAGACTTGGGCCTTCCTAAGCAGGACTGAAGAGGGTAAAGGTGACACAGCAGTAGATCACCCACAGGATCCTGGCAACTGGCTCAGAGGAAAGGGAACCTCCCACCTTTCCAGGTAACACCTGTTGTGTGGACAGGCCCACAGGGCACTTCCTGGGTCTCACCAGAGGTTCTGCTTGGTGGTCTGATAGTGCTGTAATTGCTGCTGGATCCCCTCAAGCTCAGCTTCAAGGTCTGTGCAGCCTGTGGCAACAGGAGAATGAACTTGATCTTCACTGTCTTCTCTCTGGGACCAGTGCTGGGAGTGGCCTGAGTGCTTGCTGCCCTGACAGGCCCCAAGTACACACCTGCAGGTTCAGAGTCAAGCCCAGGCCCAGCCCTGGTGCCTGTAAAGTGGCTTTGTGTTCTGAGCAGATTGGGCTCAGGGACACTGGCCAGGGATGGAGGAGCCTGGGGCTTAAGCCTGGGGGTGGTCGGCTGTGCTGACACCTGTAAAGGAAGGATGGATGGATGCTGAGCAGGGGTGCCCTGAGGAAGCCCAGGGCACTAAGTCCTCATCACTCTGGCACCTGCCACAGCCAGCTCACCAGGAGTCTAGCCCTGTCTCTGCCTGCAAGACCTGGTACTGTTAGAGAAAGTTCCACCAGCAGCCAAAGGAACACCCCACACCTTCACAGTCCTACTGCTGCTCCAGGGGGCCTGCTTAGCCTGGCGCTGCCTTACTCAGCCTTCCACCCAGCCTCACTCTGAGCTCATGACCTTGCTGAGTGTGGACTTGAGTGAAAACAGCAGCTAGTCAGGGGCAACTGTTCTCATTATCCAACTCTACACCAGCCCTCCTTCATGCTTCCTGTGTCCCCATCTATCCTATCACCACCCCATCCCCAGCTCACTGCCAGTGGCAGGGAACAAACCCTCTCAACCCCCTCCCCTGTTCCATCTGTGGCCCCACAAGACCCAACTCACAGCAGAACTGGCTCCTTCCTGTCCCCTTCAGGCACCAGCTTCTTTGCAGTGCCTGACCTGATGCTGTCACCTCCATTACTGAGCACACCTCAATCTCATGCTCTCATGGCACCTGGCCATCCCAGGGAGGCATGGCCCCTCTCTCCTCCCTCTATACTCTTCTAGGTGACCCCATCAGCTTCCAGGGATGTACCTTCCAACCCATGCTGAATTCTCAATCTAGATCTCTGGCCCTGAACGCTTCCCTGAAGGCCAGTCTCAGTGCTCTTGCTTTCAAAGTTGCGGGTTCAAAATGGACTCTGCTTCATCCAAAACCAATCCCCACCAGTTTTCCTTCTTTCAGTAAAAGAATTCATCATCCCTCAAGTTATTCAAGCCAGAAACCTGGGAGGCATCCGGGATTCCTTCCTTCCCTCACCAAATCCACCAGAGCACATCCTGCCCAGTCTGCCTCCAGGCAAGCCTGTGGCCATCCCTACAGCAGCCAGCTGTGTCCAGGCCACCAGCATCGTTTGCCAGAATCAGCCACCCAATGGGCCTGCACGGAGTGGGGAGCCAGGGTGTCCCCTGCTAGAACCCTTCACTACCTTCCCACTCTTCTCCAAATCCAAACTTTCCACCATGGCTGCAACCCTACATGATCTGCAGTCACTTCCCTAGTCTGCACGCAGGAGTTTTTCTTTTGGTTATCTGCCTAGACTATAAGCTTCACAAGGGCAGGGGCCTCAGCAGGCTGTTCACCACTGTGTCCCTTGGACCTGATGTGCAGTGGGCACCTACACTTGCAGTATGAGAGTGGCCTCCCTCTCCAGGTGTTCCAGAAACAATGAGCACAGCTGTGGCTTCAGCACCGAGGGCACAAGAAAGAGCACCAAGGGCTGGACCAAAGACTGGGAATCCCGGTGACCAGGCCTGGTGGGGAGGACTTACCCTGGCTGGTGCTTCTGCCCCACAGGGCATGAAGGAGGAAGGAGGCAGCAGCTCCAGGCCTGGACTTGCTATGGGGGGCAGCTTCAGGCCAGCAGCACTTGGCGGGGCCCCAGGCGAGAGGCTGCTTGGCACCAGTGCCATCTGGGCCTTCACCAGGGTTAGGGAAGGGCCAGCTGGCTGGGCCATGCCTAGGTCACATTCCTGTGACTTCTCTGGCCTGAGAGGGGGAAAGCAGGAGCCTGGTCAGGCCTTTGAACCTTTCTCAGGGACTGAGGAACAGGAAGGAAGGAGCCATCTACCCACGCCCCAGGTGGAGGTGCCAGCCGCTTTTGGGAACCCACGACCACATAACCTACCCCTGTTCCCTGAGGGTGCCATGCCCCAGAGACCTCTGGCTCTGCACAGGCTCCAGTAGGAAGTGTGGGCGTCGCGGCTGCTTCCTTGCTGAGCGGGCAGCATTGCTGGGAAGAAACGTGTCTGTTCCCCTAGGCTGACCAGGGAATGCAGGGGGGCCGGCCAGAAACCTCTGTGGGGTGGGGGTCATCCAGTCTGACCCCTCCAATTTTACAGGGAGACTGAAGGCCAGAGAAGGCAAGGCTCTTGCCTGAGGTCAGCAAGTAAGCTGGGTTGGACCTGGGCCATAACTTCCAGCAATTCCAATGAAGTGTGCCTGATGCCACAGGGTTGCTTCACACACCTCTTGTGACCTGTGCAGATACCCTGACAACACAGGTGCTCTGTCCATGTCACGGGGGAGCACCTCTGAGACATTCAGGCTCTTGTTGAGGTTGGCCAGTAAGGGGCAGAGAGGGAGTGGGGCCCAGGCCCTATCATGATCTCTCCCCAAGGCCTGAGTCTCTGAGGCAGTGCAGGCCACTCTGCAACAGCATGGGCAGGGGTGGGTGTAGGGTGTGGGGAGACTATCCAGGGAGGTGACAGAGAAGCACGTGCCATGTCACATAAAGAGCAGTATCTGACAGGGAGCCAGTTTCCTGGATGTAGAGAAGAAAAAGGGGAGACTGGCAGGCCTGAGGATAAAAGGTGGGGCTGTCTGACAGCCTGTTCCTTTTATCAACTACATGTATCACTTTTTTTTTTTTTTTTTTGTCTTTTTAGTGACCGATAAGGGGATCACAACCCTTGGCTTGGTGTCGCCCACACCGTGCTCAGCCAGTGAGCGCACCGGCCAGTCCTATATAGGATCTGAACCTGCGGCGGGAGCGTCGCTGCGCTCCCAGCGCCGCACTCTCCCGAGTGCGCCACGGGCCGGCCCTACATGTATCACTTTGAAAGAGATTGTGTGTCAGCAGCTGGACAGGGGAGAGGGGCAAGAAGATGTCACTGAGGAAGAGACACCCATTTACTGAGCTTTGGCAGGAAAATGAGGAAGAGAGGGTCAGGAAATCCCACTCCATTCTCTCCTCCGTGCCATGGTAGGGACAGGATCCTGCTGGGGAGGGGGTTCTGAGTAGCTTGGCTGTGATGACAAGGCCAGGACTAGCCTAGCCTGTCCCATCCTCTCTTGGGGCAAGTTTTGCACCCTCCTGTACCATGTAAGCATTTGCTCCAGGTGGGAGCAAGGAGGAAGAGGTGAGGGACGGGCTACTCACAGCTCCAGCAGGTTAGGCTCCCCAGCAGCCAGGGCCAACCTGCCCAGAGCTCCCTGAGGCCAAGGAGCTCGTAGCCTCTTGGTCTCCAGGGTAGCATCCCCAGCCCCAGCAGCAATGTGGTGGAGAAGAGGATCCTCAAATGTTACTCTCCTGCTGTGTGCGATGGGTGCTGGGGGCTGAGGCTCCCTGCCCAGCACCTTCTGTTTCCAGACTGTGGCACAGCGGCGGACCGCACGGTGGAGACGGTGGGCCTCCTGTAACATGCCTCCTGTCAGCTCGTGCTAGGCTGTGCCCTGCCCATGCCCTGCGAGAAGGGACGGGGGTCCTGGACCTACCTGGACCTGCTGCTGGGCCTGCAGCTGCTGCCGGAAGGCCTTCTTGTCAGCTGCAAAGTGCAGGAGGCGCGTGGCGCCCTCCTGGAGGAGCTGCCAGTGGTAGGCTTGCACCGCCTGCTCCAGCCGTGCCTTCTTCCTCTTCCTTTCTAGCACAAAGCCCAGCCACGCAGCCCACGCCTCCAGGGAGGGCAGGAGGTGAGGCCCAGGCCTTCGTGCTAGGGTTCCTGCAGAGGCTCTGCCCACGACTCACCCCATAGACCAGGTGCCTTCCCTCCACCCAAGGCAGGGCTGAAGCTCACAGGCCTCTCCAGGAGAGGCTGGAGCAGCAAGATGCAGAACCTCAGTTACCTTTGCCTGTAGCGAGAAGGACCAGAACCACAGGGCCCGTGCTGTAGCCTGCTGCTCCTGCCTCTTGGCCACCAGCTAGGGCCAGAAAGACTAGATTATTTCTAGTTCACCTCTTCAGGGGGGTGTCCAGACTCATGGCCAGCACTGTTTTAGTTCCATCCAGCTCATCCCTCTTAGATCCTCTCCAGTCGAGGCTTCCCTCCCTCCACTAGGAAAGGCACAGCCCTGAGCCTGGCCGAGAGATGGTTAGGAAAGAACGAAGGCAAAGGGCTCTAGGGGGAGGCAGCAAGTGGAAGCAGAGGAGCTTGGGGAGGAGTGGGTGAGGGAGCTGGGGAAGAGCTGCAGTCCAGGGAGGGCAGGAGGGCCCCGCAGACTTGAGGGCTTTGCTGTGCACGATGAGTGCAGTCTCTCCTGGCTTTTTATCAAGGGCTGGGCAAAGACTTAAAGTGTATTTTATGTTAATTTTTGGATATTACACAGATATATTTCTTAATACGACACTGTAGAAAGAGAAACTGGGTCTTTTTTTTTTTTTTTTTTTTTTTTTTTTTTTTTTTTCCGTGTCTGGCAACGGATCC